GGCAAACCGGTTTTTCTTTGTAAATTAATATATAAAAATATAACCATTAATTTACACTTGCAAAACAAACAATACAATTTACAGTTACAAAACACAAAAAGAATACCCACATACCTGTGCAAAGCAGCATATAATTACAGCAGGAAATTACTTAATCAGCTTTCTACCTTAATACTTTCAGTGGAAGAAAACACCCACATGTTAGGTTAGCATAGCTAAACTTTAGAAAGCTCACACACACTGTTTGAAGCGCTGCACATTATATAAACTACAGTTACACACGGCAAAATATAGATATTAACTGCAACAACTTTGGCTTGTGTGAAGTGTAACATTACACAATCTATTAACATATCAACTACAACATTTATGACACCACTTGTTCCACTTACTTCTCCTCAGTCGGGCCTGAAGCTAACTGAGGAAAGTAGCGCGAGTCTACACAAATGTGCAGGTGCCAAGAGTACCAAAAATTAAACGTACTTTTCTAAATAAAAGCATCTAAAAAATAAAGTGACAGTGACAAGTTTTACAAAGAAAGTATGGACAAAAATGATTTTACTGAAATATAAACAAGTGAAGTTATACATCGGTTACACCAGCACAGGACAGATGAATGTTTTGAGTGTGGAGATATGGGAAACAGACTTTAAAGATGTATTTGACTATGAACAAAACACAGCCACAGTGAACGCCTACTGCAGAGAAGTCAGACATGAAAGGTTAATAGTCTCACAAAGATAGAGGTAGATTCCTACCTAAATGTGTGATATCAGGGGTTGGAATGTAAATGTAATACGTTTCAAGGAATAAGTGGTGGTTCTGCAAGCTATGATAGTCTTCATGTTTACCCACAGTGTCATTTTATCTTTTTTATAAATGTAATTTGAATAACACCCATATTAAGTGTGTCTCTTGTGTGTCAGCAAATTATTTTAAAATGTCAGCCCTGGTTATTTTTGGCCACGCAAATCTTCTAATCTAGATCATGCTCCACCTTTCTCTTAGGAGAACTGTGGAATGTGCAATTGGGAATATATCCAACCACATGAGCACGCCCATTGCCGACATATGGAGAGTAATTACTTTCAGAAATGTGATCATATGTCTTGGCTTCACTCCACACACAGAGATGAGGAACATAAAGCACTGCAACCTTTATTCCTTTGCCCAGGGTATACAAAACATCAGCATGTTAGCATTGCCTCACAAAGCTGATAGCATGGCTGTTAAAACTTAAGTATGGTTCTAGTAAAAGATCACTGATGGACTCTATGATATACAGTATAATGATGGTGTGAGGCTTTAATGGAAGGCTGGTCTGTACAGTGTTTGGTGATAAACATTCTGAAGTAGAAAGTGCATTGATTTGTTCAGCAGAGCAGCGATACCTTTTGAAACATTTCACTTATTGTAATAGATTAAACCCTCCCTAAAGACTGCTTTTCATTATAAACTGTTACTATGATACAAGGCTCAAGACCCAAATGCACAACACCAAAGAAGAGGTACAAATGTACAAAGGCTTGATAAACCATAGAAAGAAACACAAAACGCTCACTTGGAGGATGAAAAAATGCCTGGACACCACAGAAACATTTACACAAAGAGCAGGGTCATTTAACCCATGCCAAATGTCACCTTGGTAATTTCATCCACTGCTTCTTAGGGGAGACTTTCTGATGGGACACAGGGCAGGAAGAGCAGTGTAAGGTTTCCTCTTCACAAAGTTTCTCTGCGAGATCTTTAGATATACGCTTGTCCACAGGACATCATTCAAATACATCAATAAATGTGCACTATAAATGGAATTATCTGAAGGCACACACAGTCCGTACTGTATACTTTGTATGTATGCTAACTAAGTTATTGGCTTGTCCACATGTGTAACTGCCTACATGCATACATTCCAGCTGGGTGAATGTTAAATGCTGTTAAGGCTAATATCACATCTGATCATCATTTAATCAGGAGAGACTTATTTTGATAGAAGTTTGAATAGTCTTTGGCAATTAGACCCTATCTTTATACCATGTAATTTAAAGGAGAGGTCATTTGGAGTGGACTTCAATGCCATGAAGCCTGAAAGAACCACTAACTGCAGAGAGGGGAGAACAGATTTAAAATGTGACAGCTGCACAGTGATTGGCTGTTGGGGATCATGGGAAAATGTAGTCGGTCAATTAAAAGAGTAGCATTTTAGAGGCTGCTGGGGAAGTGAGAGAGAGAATGAATATCGTAGGAAGTCCTCTTGATTGAGTACATCTAGCCTTTCCACAACTATATAATGTATAGATCTACATCAGGCATGTTTGCTCCTGCTCCAGACAATACTGCTGCCTTATCTTCTTTACCGTATGCTTTCATGCATGTGAATGCATTTTGTCTTTCACGATAAGTGCTGGATGCGTGGTGCAAAGTCTGAGATGAGGATGCAACAAATGAAATAATACAACCATACCCTGTAATAAAGTGATCCCTATTTGACTACATTCTTGTCCATTTTTTTTGCACTAGAGTAAGTGATTGCCTTTGCCCAAAGTGTCTCTGAGGAAATTGGTAACACCTGCCGACTTTCTGCCAGTCAAACAGAAAGATGGAATATGATGAAGTGAGCCCTATTCTATCTTTAAGAAATTAAGACTTAACAACTCAAATGTAACTGGGTTGTCAATGTGAGGCTTTCTGTCATGAAGATTTGTTTATGGGTTTTAGGAAAGCCTGTTTTTGCACCTAAATGATTTGGCAAAATATAAATTGACTGCCAACTATGTGCCCTTTGAGTCCTTTCAGAAATATAACTCAGCGTTTGTAATCACTCCCAACCTGATGGCTTGTTTCCAGCGGTTGTTGGACAGGATTCCCCCTTGGGGCATGCTTCTTATGTTAATCCTCTTATAGTTGTTTGTGTGACTCATAAGTTCCTCCTGTATGTGATTCCCCTGCACTCCTCCTCTCCTGAGGCTAGCTGGCTATCTGCAGAACTTGTTGCATGTCTCAACATAATGCTGAATACTTTCCTGCAGCCCTGAGCTGGAAGAGAAGAACAGCGATATAAAAAGAGAGAGGAAAGACAGCTTTTAGACACCTGCTCCATCAGGAGTAGGGATGGTTATACGGGGAATAGGTGTGTGTGCATTAACACACAACTCTTCTGGTGTTTGTAGGATGTGGCTTTACAGTATTTCTTATTATTTCTTATTTCAAATCGCATTAACACCAAATCCCAGCATGCATTGCGGCTAAACCATTCAATCATCGAGCTGAGGATCTTGCCTACGTCTGTTTCCGGTTTCGTTTATATATTTTTGTTATACACACATTCCTTCACATTTCAATTTAAATTTACATTAAAGTATTTTGTGAGGCCTTCTAACATGTTTTTAAATATAACTACGGTTGTAGTTGAAGAGTTTGTAAATGAACATGAACCGAAGCTGTTGCCTGGCAACGCAATCGCACAACGTCACGTCCGTTAATTCCACATCCACACGCATGGATTAACATCGATGTAATACATTAATGTAGCCGTTGTTTCTGCTAAAAGAGGTGTCAACCAGCTGGGGCAACAAGAAAATTGGCGTAATCGAGTGTGACTATTAAAAAATAAATCATTATTATATTCATATTGACAATAACAACCGACCGTCGGGTAGCATTTGCTTGGCATTTCCGGGTATTTCTCCACTGGTTAACATGGGTTAACAATACCATGTAACTGTCACGTTTGAAGGGACGAAATCGTGACATCTTCACGTCTCCCAGCATGGTAAATCGTCACATGTTCACGTCTTGCCGTGATACCGGGTTGCATTTAAAATATGAGGACGATGTGATGATCAAAGTTATACAGAGCTGAGGTAATGTTTCTAATCGTTTAATATTAATTTAACATGTATTTAAGAAGAATAAATTAGGAAACAAGTGTAAAAAACAACATAATATATATAATTATGTATTATTATTTATATAATAATAATAATAACAACAACATAAGTACAGTACTTGATTATATGTAATTGGTAACTTTCCAACATATAAATATTCAGCTTGCCCAAAACTGCTGTAAGGTCTTGCAGCAGGATTTGCTAAAGCGGCTAACGAAGGTGCGTCTCTGGAGCTGCAGTCCACTCACCCCCCACGGAAGTTGTCAGTTTGGTGTGTAAGAGGCTTTAAGCCCCGGACACACCAAGACGATTTTGGCCGTCGATGGATGTCAGGCCGACGATGAGCGTCTTGTCGCCCTACTCAGATTGGTGTGTCCCGCACCGTTGTGTCTTTTCGGCCGTGCCGACACCTTTTTGGCCGAAAACCTACCGATTCTATGTTAAATCGGTAGGCAATTGGCCAAAGGCTGTCGGTCAAATAAATCACTCCGATTGGCTGTTTAGCTAGCGAATCAGTGCATGGGGCTTTCCCGAACCTGTGTCGAGAGCTGGAGTTAAATGAAATCTCAGATTTGCCTTCTTAATAATAATAATAATAATAATAATAATAATAATGGGTTCCATTTATAAAACACCTCATATTTGACTCCAAAAATAATAGTTTGTTTGGGTCCCTCACTTCCGTTTCGCTTCTCATGCACTGATTCACTAAGCTGAAAAGCCAATCAGAGTGATTTATTTGGCCGACAGCCTCCCGATTCGACATGTCGAATCGGCGGTGGAAGGTGTCGGCACGGCCGAAAAACCCGACATCTATCGACGCCGATAATCGGCTCGGTGTGTAAAGGTAGGGACACACCAAGCTGACACCAAAGAACTCACACAGACGGACCCGACTGTTGTGTCGCCTCACGTCTAATGCGTCTTGGCCAACAGTCGCACTGGAACACACCGCAAAGACTTCAGCCGATGGCCAAGTAGCACGTACGAACTGCACATGCGTGAGTGGCAATAACTCTCCTTACCAGCAGGCGGCGGTAGTGTGTGTTCGTCATTCAAAAGAGGCAACAACCGGAAGACAGACTGCGTGATACACCGAGAGAAGAAGAACAGACTGCGGGATATAAACAAACAACAAATAGCGTGTGCGTTCCATTTTCACTCTACAACGAGAAGCTCATGGGGCTTAGGCGATTGCCTACCGATTCGTGTCGAATCGGTAGGCTGTCGGCCAAAAAGGTGTCGGTACGGCCGAAAAGACACGACGGTGCGGGACACACTAATCTGAGTAGGGCGACAGGACGCTCATCGTTGGCCTGACATCCATCGACAGCCAAAATCGGCTTGGTGTGTCCGGGGCTAAACAGCCTTACACGGCAGGAAGTGAGGGACAGGGACCACAGGACAGGGTAGTTATCTAACTGTTTGTAGTCTGATAAACAGTAAATTGATCAAATTTAGTGCCAGAATAGACGTGAGATTACTTGAGAGTTATTGAGAAGGGGACATCAAACATCCATACTCAGACGCATTGATGTACATCAACGCTTTCACCATTCCGAAGTGGCTAAATCTAAACAGAGTTTTAAAAACGTTTAACGCAGGAGGGACTGCAGACTACTGGGAGACAAGTAAATCAATAACACCCTAAGCAATTAAATGACAATCAAAGTAGTTTACTTATCATTTTCTGTCCATCACTCATTTGTTCATCAAGTTATTGTTGTAGATATAAGGTTTTTGTTTTAGAAAAGGTAAAGAAATATAAGCACTGTGAGTGTTACCACCTCCCTCATGCTGCTGGAGTGAGACAGAGGTAGGCAATCTTCAGATTTGCTGTGAAAGACATACAGCATTCAGAGGTTAGCAGCCTCTCAGCAATAATCCCATTCCTTTAGTGTGATGCAGCAAAGACTCAGTAACATTACTTCGTTAACTCCCTACAAGGTACTTTAGCTGCCAGAGTTCACCTCCACCTGGTGGACCACCTCACCATGACAAAGTAAAACGATGTTAACAATGGTAAGATATATATTTGAGTCTCACATTGGGATCCTGCTCCTATAAAAAAAAAGCGTGGGAGACAGGTTCAGGGCATTCCTGCTGTTGGAAATAATAATGGAACACTTTCACAGGTGTAGGGACATGGGAAAGTTGTTAACAGCACTGAGATGTGGAAGACAGCTCAATGGTGTGAAACATTCCTTCACTCTGCATCCACAGAAATAGGGGAAGGGAGGAGGAGCAGTCAGAGGCAGACTTTTTCTTGTTGTTGTGCATTGGATAAGTCCTATTCAGCTGGAAATTACAAGAAACACAGAGCAGGCCTCAACAAGCTTTATATTCTGATACTTGTATATTCAGAATTGTGTAGATGTTTAAGCTATGCTCCCTCTGTCAGCAAATTCTCAAAGGTTACACATGTCTGTTGTGATTTCACTCCTCTGCACAGTGTGTTTTGCTCCCTTCCCATGTTCAGTGTGACTCAGTTGCTCTCAGTGCAGCCTTTGGTTAACCCCTCTGGAATCTGAGCGCTACATTCTGTCTAGTGCAAAAGCTATCTTTGAGATGTATGCTACCACCCCGTTATAATCATGGTTCTTTTTGTCTATTTTTTTCTCACAGGCCTGGCGCATGTGGTCAAAACTTTGCTGTGGTCAAAAGGGGCTGCTCTTCCTCTTTCCCCTCTTCCTCCTCTTCCTCGCGATCTTTGTGATGGCTATGACCCAGCCCCGTCCTTTGCCGCGCTCTGACATGGACTGGAGGTCGTCCCGAGCCCTGAGCTCCACCGGGGAGCTGAGACCCAGGCCCAGAGACATGAATTCACCCCCTGTTTCTTCTAACCAGCTGCAACTCACTCACATCCAGAGCAGGACCCGGAAACCCTCTCCAAAAGACTCATTTAAACATTCAGTGCCAGCTAAACCTGTTGCTCGTGAGGACAAAAACAACATAAAAGACAGAGGTCACCCAGACTTTGTCAGAAATAAACATAAAAACAATGGCATTGCTTCAAAAAGAAAAGAATTGGCAGGCGCCAATCTCTCTCGGTTTACAGTTAACAACACAGGGCCAAAACATAGAATTAAGCCAAGCGACCACGGTGCTGTGGTGAAGCACTCTGCACGGGTAAATGGCAGTCAGGCAGCCAGATGGCACAGGAAAGCAGACACACCAATACAAAGTGCAAAGCTAGGTCAACATCACAAGGAAAACAACAGACCAGCAACAAATCACTCTGGGAAATCTGGCAAAGTCGCTAAGGATTGGCAGGCTGTGAAAAAGTCCTCTAGGGATCTGAAAAAACAACACAATCCCTCGGAAGAGAAGGAAAAGAATCCTGGCTCGGCTTTGTCCAACCAAAAGACAGCCATGAAGAAAAAGGAGGGCGCCTGGTGTCGGAGCTTCAGAGAGCAGGACTTCCCAGGCAGTGACCGGAGGAGGATCAGGGTCAGCGCAGAGCTCCAGCCCTGGCTCAGCAAGGAGGACATCCAGAAGATGGAGCTCCTGGCAGGGGGCCAGGTGGTCAGTAAGGCCAGGGTGCCAGCACATGGACAGGTGCTCCAAGTGGCACTGGATCCTCCTGCACCCCAGCAGGTACACAGATACACTGTTTGGAATGAACTGTTTGTAGATGATATGTTTTTATATATGTAGCTCTTTTTGGCAGCTATGTGCTAGTGATGCGCTGTGCAGTTTTCACCGCAGTTGTGTTAAGGTTACTCTAAAAACTGGACCCAGTCGCAGAACACAGACTCGAGAGGGAATGAAGTTTTACAGATTTACAGAGGTTGTACTCAGTCAAGAGATGAGGGAAGGGCTAGATATGGCAGGATAGTGGAGGTATGGAAGGGGAGGCAGGCAGGTGAGGCCTGAAGCCTAATGGTGTGGCAAAGGGAGAAGCAAGCAGGCTGTCGGGAGGGTCCATTGGCAGGTGAGCTGATGATCCACTGGTGGCACAAGGAGAAATATTAGCATCAAAACACAGGAAAATACTCTGGCAAGGAAACTCCAGTTGCTGGAGGACTGTAGTAGATATGCTGTGCGACAGAGTATTACAGTTGAGGGCGAGGAGCTTCACTGCCTGGAATCATCAGCTATCATTGTCAATATAACGCACACTTCAGTATTATCCACATAATATCAGGCAATATTTCCCTTTAACTGCTGGCTAAAAGTTTTTTTTGATTGTTTTACTTACATATACAAATTGTATCTACAAAGTGAGGCCATTCCAACGAAAATATTCTTAGCTTTTACCTGAGGCACCAGGTATTGGGCTAAGTGTCTAAAACAAAAAGGTGTTTTATAAATAAGAGTTGTAAAAATGTATTTCTCCCTCACAGAAGAGTGATCCACCTTCCCAAAGCCATGCAGAGACCCACAGTGAGCGCTGCCAGCAGGGGCTTTGCTCCCTGGTCAAACGCACTGAGGACTGGTTTGAAGTGTTCTCCTTCCATCTGGACCGGGTGCTGGGACTCAACAGGAGTCTCCCTGCTGTGCTGAGGACTTTCCACAGTGACATTTTACCGTACCGATATATCAGCGGCACACCCAGACCTGTAGTGTGGTGGGATCCAGACATTAAACACCTGGCTGATAAAGACAATGACCAGAACTCAGTACCGCTCAGCTGGGCCAGGTACCAGAAGCTGCTGCAGGCCCACTGTGGGAGTGAAGCAAACCTGAAGACAGCGCCCTGTGTGGGAGTAGACCACCCAGAGTGGGGGAGACTGGCTCTCTTCGACTTCTTATTACAGGTAAGCTCTGTACCACGCTTACCCTCAGTACCCACATGTGTGCACAGAAGACCACACACACAACATGACTCGTACAGGGACAGCAGTACTACACAGAACAGTGGCATGTTCAAATTAAAGGGATTTGGGCTAGTGAGAAAAGAGGACAGAGTCTACATACCAGAGGTCGCGTTAACCGAATATTTTCCGTCAATGACGGATTTTTTCTAACAATGACGGAAAAATCTGAAAGCAGTCCGTCATTTTGACAGATTAGAACACAACTCGGAACAGCGCCACAATGTCCACCAGCGGCCCACATTATATTACATCCTTAGTGGCCAGGTCGACTGAGGGCGATCTACTGTACTCTACTGTAGTCTGTAACTATTATTTAGTCATTCACACCCCTGTCCATGGTGGCGAGTGGGTGTATATTAAGTAGCTATTGTCTAGTCTTGTTTTTGACCTCGTTGATGACCTCGTTGTTTAACCGGCTTTAGCAATCACAAAATGTCACGGCAGCTGATCGTCCGAAGCTTTTTTAATAAGCCCAGTAATTGTGATGGTGTGGATAAACGAGGTGAAAAAAAGAGGGATTGATGCGGTGGAGGATGAAGGACAAGCCAGTAAGACTAAAACTGACAACGTTCAGCCAGCGGCAGAGGGGCAATCAAGTGGCAGAGGGGCAATCAAGTGGCAGAGGGGCAAGCAAGTGGCAAGGAGTTCAAGCGGGAGTACTGGGTTCAGTGGGAGCAAGAGTTTAAGTGGCTGAGGAGGGAAGATGGCAACATTTTCTGCGACATCTGTAGAAAAGCTAAGATGAGTAACGGATTTGTCCGAGGGTGCACGACGATGCAGAAATCAGCGTGCTGTGCTGTCAGTGCAGGAACAAATAAATCATTCATGTTCGTGTTGACATGAAAAGTGACCACACGGTCGGTGTCTCTGTTCATCTTTTTGTTTCTCCATGCCCTTAAAAGTTCTGTACTGTATGAATCATTAAAACATGAATGAATGAATATTTGCTGCTCAAACATACATATTAAATAGGTCTCATCTCATCATTAAAACATGAAAAATAAAGTGACGGATAATAATGGATTATGACGGAAATGTTACGATCCTGTCCGTCAAAATGACGGACAACCAAAAAGTCTAGCGCAACCACTGCTACATACAGTAGATCACCAAGAGCTATGGAGGAGGGGAGACATACTGGAACTGGGTAAGTAAATGTATTGTAATTTAATTGGATTATATAGAAACGCATGTTTGACTGAAGTTTAGTCCAGCAAATCAGTCGATTCAAAGTAAGCTGAAGGAGCTAGGTTTCTGTAAGCAGCTAATGCTGGCGTCACCTAGCACATTGAAGTGGAGCAGAAGAGTTCAACTGGATGTCTGCATAATGGGTCATATTTTTTTAGTTCCAGTTAAAATGCTGTCTACGAAACTCCTTTGTCTTGCTTTGGCATGGCTGGTGCTTCAGGAAAATGCTGGTTTATAAGGACACAGGCTTGATCACCAAGTTGGCTGCAGCTGTGATAGCCACTCCTGCCAGCCTGCAAATTGCTCTCAACACAAACCAATGGGCCTTTAGCAGGTTGAATGGTGATTAACATTGATAATGGCTGCCACAACAACACTAACGGGATTTCAAAATTAAACCACAAAAACAACCCTAACTGGAGTTAAAGCTTAAAAACCTTGTAAGATCACAGATAAAACGTTTTAAAGAAGATATACCCCAAAAAAATCTTTGCACTCAAGATTCTTGAAGTTTAAGTGCACTTCATAGCAGTTTCTCTGTCAACGAAAATAAATGTAAACCTGCTGTTGTCCTCAACACATTGCTTACTATTTCTAAACGTATCAACTTTAATATAAAACTAATTCAGAATATCAGCTCTCAGTACAATATTTTTTTTTAAAAACACTCAAATGTTAAAACTGTTACGGTGTGCAGGAAGCAGGACCCAAATGCAGATTTAAGTGACAAAATAATTCCTTTATTTCAAGGCTACAAATCTCCAGACAGAACAGAACACAGAGACTAGAGAAGGAACTTGAGAGGAAACTGGAGAGGGGACTAGAGAGGGGACTAGAGAGGTGACTAAAGGGGAAACTGGAGAAGGGACTAGGGAAGTGACTAGAGGAGGTACTTGAGAAAGGAATTGAGTAGGGACTAGAGAAGGGACTAGAGAAGGGACTAGGAAAGTGACCTGAGGAGGAACTAGGGAAGGGACTAGAGAAGGGACTATGGCAGCTGGGGCCGGGACTGGGTCTGGAACCATGGCTTTTGGGGCCGAGACTGGGGCCGGGACCATGGCTGCTGGGGCCAGAACTGGGGCTGAAACCATGGCTGCTGGGGTCTGTACTAGGTCTGGAACCATGGCTGCTGGGGCCTGTACTGGGGCTGTAACCATGGCTGCTGGGGGCTGAACTGGTTCTGGAACCCTGGCCCTTTGGGCTCGTGCTGCCAACCTGGCCTTGCGACTCCTTCCTTTAGGAGCCGTTTGGAGGCTCCGTGGACCTCCAAAGGCCAGACGAGTACCAGCTAATGGCTCCTGGACAGTAGCAAACACTGGGTGAGAAGCAGGGGCTGACGCCAGACGGACCACACCAATGCGTGTGGTATCAAAACGGGAGTTGGGAGGCCTGGGGCTGTGAGGCAGGGGATAACACACCGTGAGAAAATCCAAAATCCTGCCCGATAAGAACTTAACCAAGCCTGGCTTCTCCATCGTAATCCGGCGTGCCTCTGCCAGAACAGCCTCTCGCTGCTGAACCCTGGACGCTCCCAACCATCGATACGAGCAGTCATCCAAAGCAAAGGAAAACTCCAATAGCTCCTGCTCAAAGGGATCTGCTGGGCCCATACTTAAGGTCGGGTTGTAATGTTACGGTGTGCAGGAAGCAGGACCCAAATGCAGATTTAAGTGACAAAATAATTCCTTTATTTCAAGGCTACACATCTCCAGACAGAACAGAACACTCACCGCAGTTTACTCACAACACAAGACAACCCGACAAAGAGAGACAGAAAACCCAGAACTTAAATACACCCAGGACTAATCACATAAACACGAGACAGGTGAGGAGGGAGGAGAAAACACAGAGGTACCAGGTGAACACAATCGGGGAGGGAAACAGACAGAAAGCAAACAGGCAGGAAACGGGGGTGAACACTTTACAAAATAAAACGGGAAACCCAAAGATAGAAAAAGACAAGAAAAACACCAACACAGACAGATCCTAACAGTACCCCCCCCTCAAGGGACGGATCCCAGACGTCCCAAAACAAAACAAAAAAAAATCCAAAACCCCAAGCAGGGTGGGTGGAGGGGGTCCGGAGGATGGACGCATCACTAAGCCACCAGGGTGGGTGGAGGGGGTCAGGAGGACGGGACTGAACTGACCGCCCAGGGGCACGGCAGAGGACCAGGAAGGGGTCTCGGGCGGACGGCCCGGGGGAAAGGCAGAGTCCAAAAAGGGGAATTCGGGCGGACGGCCCGGGGGCAAGGCAGAGGACCAGGAAGGGGTCTCGGGCGGACGGCCCGGGGGCAAGACAGAGTCCAAGGTGAGGACCATGGAGGGGCGAAAGCAGCGGCAGGAAGAGTCAGGGGGCCGGGCCCGAGGGCGAAGGCAGGAAGAGTCAGTGGACCGGGCCCGAGGGCGAGGACCGCGGCACTCAGGGGGCCGGGCTCGAGGGCGAAGACCGCGGCTCTCAGGGGGCCGGGCTCGAGGGCGAAGACCGCGACTCTCAGGGGGCCGGGCTCGAGGGCGAAGACCGGACAGCTCCGGAGGCCGGGCAGGAGCCGGTGTCGACCGGACAGGATCCGGAGCCGGTGGGACAGGTGTCGGCAAGATTCCCCACGGAAGAGGACCAGGAGTTGGCAGGACCCCCGGCAGAAGCGCAGTCGGCGGGACCCCCAACGGGACAGGACATAGGGTTGGCAGGACCCCCGGCAGGAGGGCAGTCGGCGGGACCCCCAACGGGACAGGACACAGGATTGGCAGGACCCCCGGCAGGAGCGCAGTCGGTGGGACCTCCAACGGGACAGGACATAGGGTTGGCAGGATCCCCGGCAGAAGAGCAGTCTGCGGGACCTCCAACGGGACAAGACATGGAGTTGGCAGGACCCCCGGCAGAAGAGTAGTCTGCTGGACCTCCAACGGGACAAAGCATGGAGTTGGCAGGACCCCCGGCAGAAGAGTAGTCTGCGGGACCTCCAACGGCACAGGACCTGGAGCTGGCAGGACCCCCGGCAGAAGAGCAGTCCGCGGGACCTCCAACGGCACAGGACATGGGGTTGGCAGGACCCCCGGCAGAAGAGTAGTCTGCGGGACTTCCAACGGCACAGGACATGGAATTGGCAGGACCTCCGGCAGAAGAGCAGTCTGCGGGACCTCCAACGGCACAGGACATGGGGTTGGCAGGACCCCCGGCAGAAGAGTAGTCTGCGGGACCTCCAACGGCACAGGACATGGAATTGGCAGGACCCCCGGCAGAAGAGTAGTCTGCGGGACCTCCAACGGCACAGGACATGGGGTTGGCAGGACCCCCGGCAGAAGAGCAGTCTGTGGGACCTCCAACGGCACAGGACATGGGGTTGGCAGGACCCCTGGCAGAAGAGTAGTCGGTGGGACCTCCAACGAGACAGGACAAGGAGCTGGCAGGACCCCCGGCAGGAGAGTAGACGGCGGGACCTCCAAGGGGACAGGACAAAGAGTTGGCAGGACCCCCGGCAGGGAGAGTAGTCGGCGGGGCCTCCAACGGCACAGGACAAAGGGTTGGCAGGACCCCCGGCAGGAGAGTAGTCGGTGGGACCTCCAACGAGACAGGACAAGGAGCTGGCAGGACCCCCGGCAGGAGAGTAGACGGCGGGACCTCCAAGGGGACAGGACAAAGGGTTGGCAGGACCCCCGGCAGGAGAGTAGTCGGCGGGGCCTCCAACGGCACAGGACAAAGGGTTGGCAGGACCCCCGGCAGGAGAGTAGACGGCGGGACCTCCAACGAG